CAGAGGATAAAGGAAAGATGACATTAAGCCCAATTAGTTTTTGCTTGCTATTCCAACCACTGCTAAACCGCCTAGTACGCATTTATGCTGTAATCATAGTCACACCCCTGGACCAAAGTAAAATGGCTTGCTGTTTCCTGATAGCCGATTGGCTATTCTGCTGGTTTAGCCGAAATTGTTTTATCCGGCATCTAATTGCTATGGTGCACATATAGTGTTTACTTCCTGAGAAGCACTAAGTCATGTCGTCGTGCTTTCTCCTAGGCTACCATGGGCCGAAATAGGGCGAATTGTTATCTAGTTCTGGTAAGGTTGTTGCTTTGCACATATGTGATTGAAATCCTGCTGTTGGAACAAATTAATTAGTACCCTAGAAATTTTTAGACTGCATATTATCATAAGGTTAAGTAACTTTATCTTTGGCTTATCCACTGAGTGTAAAGGAAACTGTGTATTTCAAAGTGAAAGCTTCTTTTCACTTGTATGTGGCGAGTGCAATCAACATATATGTAGCGCTTTCCGCCTACATGCTGTCCCTGGGGCTGAAAGGGCAAGGCGCCTGCCCTTCAACCCGGATATCGCGGATTGGAGCCCGCGTAAGGGACGGGACAATTCAGGTAGTATCCTTAGTCTTCGCGCAACTGGTAGTGATTGTGTGTTAGCAAAGAGTCTGTATGGCGTACCAGCGTACCACAGATGCCTTTATTCTGCCTGCATGAGAGTCCCTCATTTAAGTACTAAAGGGAGAAGGAGCGTGAGTGTTGCCCGGTCAAAAACTGCACTCCACGACAAGTTTGGCCCTTATTTGTTCTCATCAGCTAAAAGTATCAGGCTTGAACCCCGGACCATTGGGATGTAGGTAGGACCTGTACCCTATTAAGCCACACGGTCACGACGGGATCGTTGATTCATCCACTCCGCTTGGGTAGGTTGATAGCGCAGTAGCTTACTATGATTACTTAACCACCGAATCTGGCCGATATGATATCTAGTCTTCATCCTACTTTGCTATTACATTAATCACTGGTCCAGTCAGTTAAATTCCCAAGTCCAATGGAACAATGATGTATTACGAGCAAAAAAGCATTGTTTAACAAGTCCCGTGCGATGGAACTTATTGAGAAAAATTGATGATAAAGTGGGAAGAGTTTTGGTTGACTCACCATATGCTTACGTGGAAGAGTGGTGTTCGCTCATTAAAAGCGTATATCCCCTGATTGGCAGTTTGGGAACACATCGTTTGATTGTGTTTTGTAGCCCCTGGCTAACAAGTTATAAAATGAGACGCAACTGAGACCATACGATGTCAAGGCGTTTTTTAATGTCGCTAGATTTGGGGCAGAGACGAGCTAATTTTGGGAGCGTTAAAAGGCTGACACACGGAGGAAGAAAAAATTGCTACGGCATTCAAGCCAACTATACTGTAGTGTCAGTTTTAGAAGATGTTCTCTTAGGTTACTCTGGTGGTTCAGTCCCAGCAGTGGTCGGAAAATGTGGTTTGAGTTCTACTGCATCTGGTACACCATTATGAAATCTCCCAGAAAACGCCGATGTCGACTGCTGTATATTCTTCGAGATATCAGTCTAAGCTGATAGAGTACATGCAGGACGCCCTAGTCGTTCTTGGTTGCCCTTTTGTTGTGTAGATCCTATTTTTGCACGTCTGGATAGCATATTCCACGGGCGCTCGAACGTAGGCGTTAAGCATTGGTGGGAAAATTAGGGTCCAAATAGACCGAACGCTCCGATAAGTAAGCCGAAGCGTTAATTACCGGTTTTCGACGCTTACTGTGCTTGTTGTGAACATCCGAGATCTTCCTGTACCAGCATAACCAGGTCACGCTCCTGAGATACTCTCTGTAAGGTGTGGTGTCCAAGTTTGTAAAGGCTCACTGGCTAATGATGTAGATAGATCACCTTGCACTTAGCTATGTTCAACTGAAGGTTACTCGTTGCCCATTCATAAATACAAGCTAGATCATGTTGGAGTAGATCATGATTTTCCTTGTTATTATAAGCCCGCCATTTCTTGATGTCCTCGGCGAAAAGCATGAAAATGGAGATAACGCATGTCAGATTGTTGGTAAGCACAAGGAACAGGCGCGGTCCCAGCACCGAGCACTGTGCAACACCGCATTCGACCCCAATCGGGTTACATGGTTGGCGGCATACGCTTTCGGATTTGCCTGTCACTGTGGCTTCCATAGAACAGTTACAGGATGCCTGCACCTCCAAAGGGACCACGGGTGGCTTGAGCTGTACCACCCACAGCTCCAACCACACACCCCATATCCAGTGTAAACCCGAAGGAATAAGACCAGGAGGCATGCGGATGGGAGCCACGTTACATCAACGGAGCCGGCCCACACTCCTTCACAGGCAACCACAAGAACGCTGTATTTGGGGAATCAAACGCACACAATGCGGTGGCTGGAGCGTAGTCCGCTCCACATTGGATGGAACCACTCTTTGAGCCTAGCACGGCCAAAGGGGTAGTGCACCCTGTTCCCCTCAGCAATGATTCTCAGTCTCCTTGAGCCAGTAATTGAGGTGGAGGTTGGTAGACAGGTAGGTACCTGATCAAGGTGTACATCAAGTGCAGCCGCACCGAGGAATGGAGTTACATATTGATCCCCTAACACGCACCTGAAGCCTCCGTGGGTGAAGAAAGTTGATAATCCAACCAAGAACAAGATCTCTGACTCTGTAGATCTGTAGCTTGTGAAGTAGGACACGTTGATCCAGGCGGTCAAAAGCTTTGGAGAAGTCCAGATAGATGAGGACAACTCCGACCCCATCATCGGCCACGTCCGTTCAATTACCTCATGCATTTAGCAGGTTGGTGGTCCTTGACCGGCATTGACGGGAACCATGCTGTTCCGATGCCAAGAGGTTGTATTTCTCCAGATAGTCTAGTAAAGCCTCAGTGACGACCGCTACCATCACATTCGCGAGCACAGAGAGGAGAATCCCTGGGCGACAGTTTGCAGGATCTGGATGTCTACCGCCTTTAAAAAATTGGGGTCATAATGCCACGCTTGTTGTTCATCAAAACCCCTTCGGACGAACTGTGACAGTGGTTCGGCTAGCTTGGGGGCATCAGCCTTCAGTGCCTTTGAGCGGTTTTTGTCTGCTCCCAGAGAGCTATGATCGCGCAGTGAGAGTGAATTCCTTAGCATAATCGCTGGGTTGGAAATGGCATGTGCAAATCATGGTCGGTAATGTGCTTGATATTATGGGACAGGTAGAGACTGCGAGTTCGAACACTGGGGCGCATTGTAGCTGCATGGTGTTGGTTGTTTCTTCGGCGTTTTGTACTCTACCGCCTGTTGTGAAAAGTGGACGGACGCCGCTCCGCTACATAAACGCGCACTGATGATGTACCCTCGAGTGGTGATGGAACGTTTGCAGCCAAAACGCAGTGCTCAGTAAATAAGCAGACCATCAACTGAACAACCTGAACTACCAACATTTGCTTCTATATCACACTTTACGAAGACTGCTGACATGCCCAGACATTGATTTGTTTTTTGCTAAAATCATTTCGGCTAAACACTGTTGATAAGTGACTTTGCCCTCACGGACAAGTACAATGCAATGGTTGCGATGGGTCAGAAAATTGCCTCAAGTCTCTGAGTCGCAGTTAAGCTTGTAGGCACACCATGCTGCATCCCTTATCGCCCGGAGTTTTCGAGTCCTGCTACGTAGAAGTGAAGGCGTTTTTGCGGGACGAAGCGGCTTTGTCGCTAATGCTCTATTGACCATGCCGCTGAGTCCACCAACGAACTCTGTACAAACGTTGTCAAGGGGACTGTTGTTTGAGAATTCCCAAGCGGATGCGTCGACGAGTTCTTTCAGTACGTGTTAGAGTGTGATTGCATGAGTTAGTTCCGAGTGTCCAGGTGGATACTCTGCATAACACACATAGTTGAACGTTATTACTACATGGTCGCTGAGATATAATGGACTATCCATCAATAACTTGTCAACCATGAGCTCTTCATTCGTGAGCACAAGGTGCATTATGGACGGTTTGTTTGCTCTCCTGAATCTAGTAGGCGTGATGACAGGATGGAACAAGACAATATTAGCGATAAGTTCATGCAAGTCTGTTTTGAACTGTTCATTGGTTGATACCGATACCTTCAGATTGTGTACCTTGGTCCCCGGAGACGAGAATGTGGCTGTACCTAGTGTGTGTTACCCTGTTCAAAGCATGTATCAAGCGGGAATCCATTTCCGGAGTGGACGTTGGGGGGCAATAAACAACAGCTACGAGACATGCGGTGTTGTGTCTTAGTCGGAGACGGTACCAGACTGAGTCGGTAACGTGTGTTTTTAGATCATCAACTAGTGTACACTGTAAATCGCTGCGGTAGTAGTGAAGAAGTCCACCTTCTCTGCTGGGGCGGCCGTTTCGGACAAACGAGGTTCCTGTTATCTCAACCTTAGCATCAGCAACTTCTTGGTGCTGCAACTAGGTTTCGGCAATGGAAATTAGGTCACAAGTATTCGCTACCTGACGTAGCCGAAGTTCGATAAGTTTAGTGAGGAGCCCTTTGGCGTTAGTGTACCTGGATGAAAGTTTCTCACATATAAGCAATATTTCGGAGGTTGTGCAACTCATACGTAAAGTTTCGCCGACCAGTGAGTGGCCTGCGACTAACCGTTTTTTCGGTGTGTACTTGGTGAAGGGTTCGACGTCTTATTCACCATTTACTTCATTAGTTCCGTACCTAATCTTCTACGTTCAGCGTAAGGTGTCTGGTCACTGTCTTCTTCAACAGGTTGTATGGGCTCATTAGACACCCTGTTGGTGCATTTTTCTTTCGTATTTCCCATCGCCTTTGGTTCGCTGAGTGAAATATCATCGTTAATGGGCATACCACTGACTAATTCAAACCCGCATATCTTTGATAACTTGTTACATGTTGTATGCTCTAACACAAGAACAGGCACTTCATATACATAAATTTCTATTTCTTCCCCTACTCACACAGTTATTCGAATTCCGTTCCCTGGTTGGCCGTCTTCTCGGTCTTGACATAGACACATTGACGGTACCAAACTATGACATTGTCAATGAACTGCAAAAGTTCGTTGCTACACGAAAATCGCCGATGTCTGAGGAATCTACGATAGCGGTGAGACGCATCACCTACTCGCCCACGAACGACGAAGTACTAGACGCGAGTGGTACAACAGCTCCAGTCACCGGTCCAAAAGGAGGGCTCGTAACGGTTCGTTCGAAAGAAGGTAGGTAAAAAGAACAACGCAGTTTCCGGTTCTTTGAGAAATGTTTAAACGGCAATCACACTCAGCAATGAGGCATAGCCGTGTAGCGTACTGTGAATGCCCCGACAATCGTGATTCGGCTGACGGGACTTACCAAGTAGCCCGATCAGATCTATTAAACTTGATCTGTTCTTTTCTACCAGGAAAACGATGGAACAATAGATTTAATGCGCATAAAAACGCGGACGCTTAACAGTTTCCGTAAGTGAACAGTGAGACCAAAAAGTGACTGCATCAAAAAATTTAATAACGGTGAACTAGCCGCAAATTGCACGTGTACACACAGTCCGATTATGTTAACCCGTGCCTCAGGAACTTTGATTAAATCATGTAAGGCATTATGAAGCTGCATGCGGAATTAAGATAAGCTAGGAGCAGAGGTGGCAGTATACGGAAGTAAGTTCCACTGGTGAATGAAGAAACGTTCGGGTGGCACTCTAAACGGCTATGCGGTGTGGACAATCTCATTGGTGTGCTGCGGCTGAGTTCCAATAAGTGCCGGCATAGACGTTTGAGGATCAGCTACACCAATATGAGCTCACCTCACAGAAGACGCCATTTTCGCCTGAAAGTTCCCAGAGTTTTTAGTCTAAAATGATGTGGAAGTGAAACAAACGTTGGACAATTTTCGTCGCTCTCCGTTGTGGCTTCTCAAAAGCAGCGATGTCACGTTTATGCCAAGGTGCCACATCTGGATGGCGTATTCTACATGTGTCATCACGTAAGCATTTAGCATTTGCGAGAAACGGTAGGATGAAACTGGCCAAATGCCCTCCGCAGTAAGCCAAAGTGCCGGTTAGATTGTTCGCCACTTTCTCAACCTGTCTTGAGCATCCGAAATTGTCCTGCACGAGCCATTAAAAGAGCAGTGCGCTGCAAGGCATGTTCTCCCAGTCGATATTGTTAAGTGCTGTGGTGCCGTATGTTACGTTTGACTGGATTAAATTCAGGCATATTGCGAGCTGACCACTTGTAGGCCCTGATGACATCTTCTTGTAGTGTTATGTGGTCAGCTGCCCCCTTAATTGCCTGCGAAATTATGAGGTCGGCTGCGAAGAGTAGAAAGTTCGACGTCAGTACTCCCACGAGGTCGTTTGTGAAGACTAAGAGTAGTCGTGGTCTTAGTATCACGCCACAGTGAATCAATTTCGGTGTATTGCTTACTCTTGATACTGCGCGTCACTACCGGTTTCATTTTTGAGTGGACAAACCCGATGCAGACAGCCGATGGTACGATTGGAATCCTGGCGTATTGGTTGACGACGGATGTTTCAATTACTAGGCCACTGAGATCCGCAAGCGTCGCATGACACATCTTAGTAAAAATACCACACATGCTGACTGAATGAATAGGTCTATTTGCGAATGGGCTCTATCCAGGTGAAAAGTCTGAATTGCAGTGTAGTACATAAACTGAAATAGGACTGCAGTTTACAGTGTAGCCGATCATGGCTAACTAATCAGCAGAATTGCATTTTCGAAGCGTCTGGCCTCATGATTCATGAGAGGTCCAACGCTGTCTCCGAACACACTGGGTTTTACAGTCTCGATGGTTGTGATTCGCTCCAAGGTCATCCTCACACACGCGTGATGTGCGTGCTACTGGTTCATTTGGATTATTTCCCTCTATCCTCTCTCCATCTTCTCGCAGCGTTGTCACTGTACGCTCATTAGAACCGGATTTACCAGCTCTACACAGTGATCCATCATACGTGGAAATATCTTCTACGATTAAAAGCTGTGCCATCAATAAGCGTTTTTCACTGGCATCTGTGATTAAGCGCAAGCGTTTAATTCAATCGTATTGAGCTGATTGCCATTCTGTGTGACACCATTCGATACAGAATTCTCGAGGCAGGCCGAAAAGCCTAAGCTTACTCCGATCCAGTGTTTCTCAACACAGCTGTGAAAGAATCTGTGATCTGTCAATCTTTGTTCAGCGCTCTGTTCAGGTTCCAGTCACTCGCCATTCCTTGTGACCTTGTCAGCCAGTGCGGCTACATTACCCATCACACGGACCGCGCGACCACGCCGACCGCTCATTTGACATTGCAACCACCACGCTCGCCCGACCGATGTGCGCCGCTCTCAAAGCTGTAAAAGTACAGAACGCTAACCAACCCACTGGGTCAGGTAACGACATCAAATTGAATGGCAGAAAGGCGAAACCGAAGAGGCTCCCATCGAAAGGCATTTGTGGGTTAGGAGAATGTCATCGGGTGGTAAAAATCGGTCTGTCTTGTTCGCACTGTTTGGAATGGTACCATACGAAATGTGCAAACGTGTCCCAACAACAGTTACGGGAGCGAAATAGCTCCCAAGATGCATTTTGGTTCTGTACTGCGTGTTCCACCATCCCCCTCGTTAAGTGCTTGCTTATCCTAGCTGAGAAATGCGACCGGTTAATCGCAGAAGCAGAGCAGAGGATAAACAATAAGATTACTTCAATGGGAGCGAGTATGGACCACAGAAGCGTAGCGGCTGCTAAGCAACGGAATGCTGAACAAATCGCTTCCCCTGCACCGCAATCAGCCATGTCTCCATCTCCGTTGTCTTCTCCAACTTTGGTAGAACGCCGGGCAAAAACAGACTGTACCTACGTGAATCAAGCAGTACTCACAGCAAAGAAAATCAGGCACCATTCAAAACGTCTGGTTAAGCAAATTCCACTAGACCTGACATCTAGTATTAACAAGGATGGAGCAGCCAAACACCAACCCTTGGTACCTGTAGCTCAAATATCTCTTGTCGAGACTAAGCCTCCCAGAACATCGGTTACATATGCAGAGATTGCTGCAAGGGTCCACCGAGAGGCCGCCGTTGCGGCCTCTTCCATCGTAAACACCGTTGACGCAAATGGAGAGAAAAACAGCAATCACTTGTCAACAAGTCAAGACAAATGAGTACCATACCTTGTAGATCGATTAAAAAGGGATCCAACAACAGTGCCCGGACTGTTGTGTGCTCAAATGTCCCTGAATCTACCGCCATCACATTGCGGGATAAGTTATCAGACGACCAAGACCAATGGAACTCATTGTGTATGCAGATGAGTATCAAAGCCAAGCCCATAAACTTGTTACGAATTACTCGTCATCCGAACTCGCCACACTATGGTGAACCCAGACTTATTCGAGTACCACTAGAATCCTCCACCGACGTGGAAATTGTTTTGCTCTCCGCAAGCGCGCTAAAACACGAATCCTGTGTGATACGTATCTATCCTGATGTCCCTTGGAGCGCGCGACAACCAAAACGAAACACCGAAGAGGGGCACAGCAAGCAAGACCGCCTAAACACATTCTTCATACATGGAGTGCCAGAACATCCTTATAACCATGTTCAAGATACCATAAAGCACGATTTAGAACAGTGGCGGTTCATTCGTGAAACATTTTCTTTGGAGGATGTTGTGGCACTATCGCTCACCAGGATACCTCTCTCATCGAATTATAGAGGATGCGGCCCTAGAATCCTAAAACTTGTGGTTCAGTCAGAGCAACAAGCAAAGGATGTTTTGGATCGATGGCGGAGAAATCGGAAACATCTTCCTTCCGAAATTCGGTTAAAGGTCACAAACAATTCGCACAGCTCAAGTATTAAAGCAACTGAAGCAGCAAGCATCCTGACGAATGTACAGAAGTGTAACTTGACTGCTGCTTTAATTGACTCTGACGTAGGTCTAAACGAAGGCTGGGACGCACCTTGGCCGAATCAAGTTGCACACGAGGTATCATTGACCCATCAAAAAAACGAATTACTGCCATCGGACGGCATTCTTCCAAGCTTGACAGCTTCACCTGTCTGCGGGCTGCTAGAGACCGAGAAACTGGCCTGCTTGTATACAAATGCTCAGGGACTTTCTAACAAACTGGCTGAACTGAAAGATCGCCAAGCTTCCGCCTCGTATGATGTCATTGGTATCACCGAGACATGGTTGCACACGGGAATGACGGACGCTGAAGTGTCGCTACTCGGCATGTCGCTGATCCGGAACGATAGGCTCACAAAAAGAGGAGGGGTAATCTTGTACTACCGAAACGACTTACAGTGCGAAGCCGTGGAGGATTCAGACTCGCAGTTCCCCGACTCTCTTTGGTGCCGGTTGCAGTTAAAAGGCAGGGACGCTTGCCTTATTATCCAGGTGTACCGCGCCCCTAACTCAACACTCAAAACCGACTACCACCTAATGGCGGCTTTAAGGTGCAGATTACAACAAAAGTACACTCATATTCTTATCATGGGTGATTTCAACGTACATTGTTTAGAAGCCACTGCCACCGATTTACAAGATCTAGTAACTACTGTTCCTCTTTACAACCACATCACTTTGCCCACTCGGTTCAGAACTGGTAACAGGCTATCTGTGTTGGAGCTTGTGCTTACCAACGAGGAGCATATGATTGATGCATTGGTTTTAGACTGCCCGTTGGGTCGCAGTGATCACGCAGTCATCAGTTTCAACTTCGTCTGCTATGCAGAATATCGGAATGATAATGATGATACTGTGCGAACCATCACAAGTTACGACCGACTCGCCCAGCTAGTCAGCGCCACAACATGGTCTTTCCTCGAAGAAGAACCCCCGGAAGTCGCTTGGCTCGAGTTCGTCAACAAATTCAGTCAGCTGATTGCACAGGCTTCTGAGATAAAAGCTTGCAATAAGTGCAAATCCGTTTCTTTCGTCAGGAGCAGAACCCGAAAATGGATGACAGTCCGCAACGCAGCATGGCGAGTGTACAGACAAGATCCAGCACCAGAAACTTGGGACAACTACGTAGCCCAACGTAACCACTGCACTCAGCTGATAAGAGAAGACAAAGCCGCCTATCAGCAGAACATCGCAAAAACCTTCAGTGCTAACCACAACCTGCTGTACAAGCACCTTAATAGCCTACGAAAGGTGAGGCAAGGATTTCCTCTACTCAAGACGGCTGATGGCCCAACAAGAACGTCTATGG